ATGATTCCTCTGTTCATTTTAAATTTAGATTGCTCTACTTTTTACAGTTTCTACAGGCTTAAGATTACAACATCAATTTCAGCATTTCTTTTTTGCAAACTAAATGTTTGGGTATGTTTTTAATTTTTTTTTTTTACTTTTAGTTAATTTTGAATCAATACATCATAATTATATACAATGTTGAGATTCATTGTGATATGTTTGTATATGCATGTAACATTATTTAGGCTCCACTGAAATTTCTTCTTTGACCCATTGTTTGTTTACATATGTGTTGTTTAGGCTGTTCTAATGGCACTGCTTATAATCTCAGCAATTTGGGAGGGTTAGGCAGGAGGGTCACAAGTTTAAGGTCAGCCTCACCAATTTAGTGAGGTCCTGTCTCAAAAAAAAATAAAAAGGGCTGGCTGGGAATGTAGCTCAGTGTAAAGCATCCCTGGTTTCAACCAAAATAATAATAAAAATGAATGTGTTTAATTTCTACACATATGTGGATATTTTCATTTTCTGTCTCTTACTGATTTCCATTTTCATTTTACTGTGGTTGGAGGAGATACTTTTATGATTTCAATCTTTTTATATTAAGACTCATTTTGTGGCCTAACATCTGGTCTTTCCTGGAGAATTTTCCTTGTGCACTTGAGAAAAATATGTTGTCTACTGCTATTGGATACAGTGTTGTAATTCTGACTGTTCTATTGTTTTACATTTCTGCCAAGATGCTCTATCCCTCATTGAAAATGGGTTACTGAAGTGTTCAACAATTATTGGACAATTGTCAAGTACCTACTTCTTTTAATTCTGTAAATTTTTGAATTTTGTTGTATCAATTATTGAGAGAGGTGTTGAAATTCCCAACTATAACTGTGTGTTTGTCTAATTCCTATTTTAGTTTTATCTATTTTTTATCCTGTATCTTGAAACTGTACTGATGGGTGCTTGCATATTTAGTGTACTATTTCTTCTCAATTAATTGACTTTTTAAATTATATTATGTCCCTCTTTCCTAGGGAATGTTCTTTTCCTGAATTCTACTTTGCCCAGTATTAATATAACTCTTTTCATTAACATTTGTGCAGTAATTTGCTTGAAGAAGGTGCCCAGTTGTGTATTAGATTTTAGCCAATATAGTCTCTATATTTTAACTGGTATGTTTAGACTATTTATATTTAATATAATTATTAATACAACTGGATTAAGTCTACTATCTTAATTGTTTTCCTTTATTACCTCTGTACTTTGTTTCTTTTTTTCTGCCTTAATTTTATTAATTTTGTATTTTTATGGGTTATTTTTTTCTCTACTCCTGCCTTAATATTCATTTTAATATTGGAAAATTTGTATTAGAAGATTATATCTTTAAGTACTAGAATTGTGCTTCATGTTTTGTGTAAAGAACTTAGAATGCAATTTTATTTTCTACATTTTGTCATTTACATTGCTTTAGTCATACAATTTATAAATTTATTTATTTATAATACTAATTATAATACTTTTGCTATTGTTTATGTTTCATATAGTTAGCTTTTTTAGAACAATTGGGAATAAGAAAAATATTTGTTTTAATGTCATTTATTTCTTTTCTTGAAAATTCCACTTTTTTATGCAAATACAGATTTTTGGTTGGTATACTTCTTTTTGAAGAGCTGCTTTTAACATTTCTTATAGTATGTGTCTGCTGATAATGGATTTTTTCTATTTTCTTTTCATCTAACAAATTATTTATGTATTTAATTTTTAGATATTTTTGCTGGGTATAGATATTTGAGTTTATTTATTCCATCACTTTGAAGAAAAATGTCCTTTCTTTGGCCTACATGGTTCATGCAATGAAAACTAAAGCAGTTCGTATCTATTAATATTAACAAATTATGATAAAGATAAGCCTATATACTTCTAACTCTATTTTAAGCACAATTGTAATAGCTTCAAAGGTTAATTATTTTTACATCTAAATTGTTTTGTATATGTCTTAATGGAATGTATACACACATACATACATATGTACATATTTATACATACCAATGTTGGTTAAAGAAAAAGAGATAAATGAATAGTATTAAAAGTAATGAAAGATCTACTGTAAATATTGAGCATTGTTGAAAGACTACTTAGTGAGGAAATACCAGCAGTTCATTTATTTTTGGAAAATAAGAAATAATTTATATTATTAATAAAATATTAATTGTAAAATATTTTAGTGATTAACATCAGATTATAGTTGGATGCAATTTGAAGGAAAATGGAGTGATAGAAAGTTTACTTTTTGAAAAAATATTTATGAGGATATAAAAAAGTATATAGAATTATAATGAAGATAATCATGAAATTTACAGTGATAAAGTTATGGACACAGATTTTCAATTTCAAACATTTGTTACTTGCTTTTCCTGCAGAGGATTTCACAGACATTATATGGGTTATTTTTTTTTCACATTTTATAGCAATATTATCTCAATTTTACATAGGAACACTGCCATAAATATTTTTTCTATTTTGAGAGCTTTCTTTTTTTTTTTTCTAAATGCAGTTTCTCTTTTGAGATCCAGCAAAACTGTAACAAATTGAGTACAAGTTTTAGTTATTTGTGTATATTTAAATAGATGGAACATGACATCTTTCACTTGTTTATTATTTAAGATTTAGAGGTAAAAATGTGACTCAAATCTTATAACTGCCATTTGAACCCTATATTGTGAAGCAAAAGAGAAAATAATTTGGCAATATATAGTGAAATAAAAGTTGATAATAACATTTTAATAAGTAGGATTGTCCAAAAGTGGGTGCTTCAATGTGTTGACGACATTCTTCCATCAAGAAGTATACACAATTGTATTGAGTAGAAGACACAGAGACAAACCCATGCAGTTGCAATCATCTGATCCTTGACAGAGGTGTCAAAAACATTGAGGACAAAATGGCATTTTAAACAAATGCTTCTGGAAAACTAGACTAGTCTCTTGTTTTATACAAAAAAATCAACTCAAAAATGGATCAAAGTTGTAGGAATTCTACTAGAAACTAACCAACTTTTATTGAAACATAAGGTCCACACTCCAGCATGGCATAGGAAACAACTTTCTCAATAGAATCCCTAAAGCTCAGGAAATAATGCTGAGAGTTAATAAATGGGATGACATCAAGTTAAAAAGCTTATGCATAGTAAAAGAAACAATTAAGATCATGAAGAGACAATATACAGAATGGGATAAAACTTTGCTAACTACTCATCTGACAGGATTAATATCTAGAATATATAAAGAACTCAAAAAAAGCACGTGCACACACACACACACACACACACACACACGCACACACTCACAAATAACCCAATTAATGAATGGACAAATGAATTAAACAGATACTTCTCAAAGGAAGAAATACAAATGGGCAACAATATATAAAATTTTCAATATTATTATCAATTAGGGAAATGCAACTCAAAACTACACTGAGATTTTATCTCGCTCCAGTGAGAATTGCAGTCATCAAGAATATAAACACTAATAAATGCTAGAGAAGATGTGGAGAAAAAGGAACACTTTTACACAGTTGGTGGGATTATAAATTAGTACAGGTACTATGGAAATCTGTACTGGAGTTCCTCAAAAGACTAGAAATGGAACCACCAGATGACAGCTATACCACTTCACTGTATTTATCCTAAAGAAAGTCATCATACTATAGTGATAAATGAATACCCATGTTTATAGTAACACAATTTACAATAGCCAAACAATTGTACCAGCCTAAGTGTCCATCAACAGATGAATGGATAAAGAAAACATTGAACAGACATACACACACACACACATATACACACACAAAGTTTTATTCAGCCATAAAGAAGAATGAAGTTAGGTTATTTGCAGGAAAGTTGATGGCACTTGAGAACACTGTTAAGTGAAATAAGCCAAACTCAGAAGGTGCAGGGTCCTGGGCTTTCTCCCACTTGAAAGCTAGAGAGGAAAAAGCAAAAGAAAGGTAGATGGCATTTCATGAAAATTGAAGGGAGATCAGTAGACTAGATGAAAGAAACTAGTGGGAAGGAGGAGAGATGAAAAAGTATAAGTGCTTGGGAATGATATTGGCCAATTTACATTGTTATATTGTTTGTATGTACAAATGTAACAAAAAATCACACCAGGGCTGGGGATGTAGATTAGTGGCAGAGTTCTTGCCTGGTACATATGAGGTAGTGGGTTTGATCCTCAGCTCCACATATAAATAAAATAAAGGTATAAAGAAATAACATCATATGTACAACTAAAGTACACCAATTATAAAATGTAGTAAAAAAGGAAGTATGGAATGATCTGTTGTCTTTTCTCTCTTTCTCTCTCTGGAGATGGACCACATTCCCCCTTGAATGTGTATTCCTTACTTAACCAGAAAAGCTTCTCACTCTTAAGATGTCCAGCATTCTCCCTTAAATGTTCATCTGTTTTCCTAAATGAATCTCTGTGTCT